TTTTAAAAACATAGCAAGGACTCAGCTGTTGTCATTAATAACATCTGTTACTCAGGTTGCCATTTTTGGGTTGATGCTTGAAAGGAGACGAAATGCTATTTCTGAGGCCGGCAGTTTTTTTTTTTTTTTTTTTCAAAATGCTTCTGAGGTATGCAGGAAAATCATGACCCTAATCTTCCCTCTTCAGTTGTCCTACAGATACATTTTCAGCATTGCAGAGGTTTCAGATAGCACGTGGAATTGATACCTCAAACAGAAAGCACTACTCAGCTAAATACACCCGCTCCGTGGTCATGTTTCTTGCATGCCACTTATATCAGCAAATAATGTACAGCTGGGAATCTCCTGGGCCCCATGAAAAAATGCATATCTGCTGCCTATTGTGCATGAATATTTAAGCAATTCAGCCTCTGCATCTTAAAACCTCCTGAAAAGCAATCCCTCACAGGGAAGGGGGGAAATTAAAATCTATATGGAGCAAAGTGGGCCAAGAAGAATGTGGCTAGTGAAGAATTCAAGTTGGTGTCCATTTATTTTGTTTGACGGAGTTAATAGAGCTAGAGAGACATGCAAATTAAATCTTGCCAATTTCATAACAGGGTATTAATGCAGATTCTACTAAACTTTGCTGAAGGGGGGAAAAAAGCTAGCAATATTTGTAAATTCTTTGTATCGATTCTTTTGTAGTCTGGTTAAAAAAAAAAAGAGCAGTTCTTTTCCTGCCTGCATTGTTCCTCTTCTATCTTTTTAGGTCATGGAGAAAATCTGTGTGGTTGCTAAAAGTCAGTAATGACTTGATGGCACGTAATTAATCAATCCTAGCTTTCTACATTAGACCTTATATAGAGTTCATCTTTCAGGATCAGAAAGGTCTATGGCCATTGCCGCACTTCTTGTCATCACAGAGGCCTTCTGAAATGAATGTATAAAACTGAACAGAACACCACTGTCAATTTTTCCTAATGCACAAATAAAACCAGTGACTGTATGTTCTAAGGAGCCGAACACACTTGTTTCTATGGTTTCCCATCATAATGATGTAAAATCAGAGAGCAATACAATTGCGTAATGATATATTTGTAAGCTTAACATAATCAAGGTGGAGGAGGAAGGGAATTTAACTCAAATTGAAGTGAAGTGAAGCCTTCTGTCCCTCCAAACCAGGCCTGTCAAACTGGCGGCCCATGGGCTGGATGTGTCACGGGCAGGCCACGCCCACCCCAGCTCCGCAAAGGCAAAAAACATCATGATATGCCACGATTCGTCATGTGACGCTCTCAAGGTTGACACCCGTGCTCCAAACAATCTACTTCTGGATCAGGTACTATAAAATATACCTGATCCACCTTTCCCCCCCTGGAACTTCTCCCTGTAGTACTCAAACAAAGCACTCCAAGATGAAATTCACTATAACTAATGTGCAGTAGACAAGCTCAAATTCTATGCCTTCTATAACAGATCTGAAAGGGAACCTCCCCCCTTTCTCTTCAGTAGGAGAGAAGCCATCGTGCAAACTAACGGGCTACACAGCTTGCATCGCACTCATGTTAGAAGCACCAAGGCATTTCCAGGTTGGAAGGATTAGCTGGTAACATCACCATTGCTCGGGGATGCCTAGTTGGGGTTCCTTTCATCTCCCGAGCAGGAGCTGGAACAAAGGATGGGAGCTCACCCTGCCCCATGGCAGCAGTTGGGTCTCAAATGTGGGCTTGATAACTTCCTACCCAACATCTTAACCACGCAAGCCACCGTGCTCCTGCGTTACATAGATGAAAGAACTGGACCATGCCTCCAGCAACAAGAGCATCTATTCTTCATGCAATGCGTTTAGGTCTCAAGGTGATGGGAAAGACTTCTGCCTAAGTTTTTTTTTTAAAAAGCACTCTCCAGTAGATCATATTTGGACAAATAATCTCATGTGGTATATAGATGTCTATGTAGTACAATCTGTACTTCCTGAAAAGTACCAAACTTAGCTATCCAATATAATTATGAAGATTACTGAGCATCAGCTGCAGGAAATCATCCTGTGTATATAAGTCTGTTATAGGCTTTAAAACAAACTGAAACATGAAGGATAGAGAATTTACCCTTATCTTCTTTTCTTCCTAGCCTTGATTTTTTTTCTCTTACAAATTCCTGTAGAGAAATACATCTTTTATTTTCTTATAAAGTCTCATGTTTTGTATATTCATTAATGGCCAGTTCCTTTTGATGCATACAATTAAAAAAAAGGGGGATTGGGAAGAATTAAACATTTGGCTCCAGGCTGATGGCCAGGTCATTATGAGAAAGAGAGATAGAGAAGAAATTCACCAACTGGTAAATGAATAGGATATTCATTGATGTTGGCAACTCTCTGAGCCTGACATTTTTTGGGGCTGACCCAGGGGTTTTGACACAACTAATTTCAGTAAACGAAGAAATTCTTAGCATAATTGCCAAGACCATTATTTTTAAAGATGAAAAAAATGATCTTGCAAGTGAACAAACCATATTAGGATAATTGTGCATACCAATGCAATAAACTGTTTTCAAGAACTTAATAGGTCACTCACACAGGACTTATAATTATTGATTCTTTTGGACAGAGGAAAATACCTGTGAAAAAGTTGACAGAGGAATCAATTTGATACACTGTCTTTTAAAAGTAGCATTTTAAACAATATTTCCACACTTTTTAGAAACTTCTGCCCTTCTCATAAACATGAGATAGATTAAACTGAAGAATATGATTTTTTTGTTATACAGTTAAATTACTAACTTTTAAACCTGTTAAGGAAAAATGGAAAATTAAATATATAAACTTTCAGATGAAATCTAAATTCCTAAATAGTCATCTAGTTGGAATGTTGGTTCCAAACTGGATCAAGCAGCAATTGAAGTTACACTTTGCATGCTTGTTCTGCTACTCCTTTTTAAATGGATCAAACTCTAGTTTTTTTATGAAGCAAACTATGAGTACAGTTTCATGAGAAAAAGTCAACAATAGTTATCACATCTTAAATCTAGCTCATATTCATCCGTGGCTTTATCACATTCTATTTTTTTCTATTGAAAACTCAAGTCATATGATGTGATCCAAGGCTATTAGCCTTTCTTTGGACAATAGCTATTTCACATATTGGTTTTGTTCTGGAAAACTCATTGATTTTTTGTAGACACTTAATTCTTTTGAATTCTAAATGTCTGTTCTGAAAATGAAGAGAAATGGACATTTTGTCCTTTTAGGGTTGTAGAGCAATTGATTTAGCAAGATTGACAGACTACTATTTTCTTCCTAGTGTATGATGAACTGAAGAATTCAGATTGCTTTTAGCAGCTGTTATTCCTTCCCAGAGTATTACTTTCAGGGCTGTTCAGAAATCTGGAGTATATATAACCGTTTATATGCTTACTTTTCTATTTTTTAATCTGATTTAACGTTTTTGAAATATTTTTCAAATCACACAAGATTTTGGTAATCTCAACCCCTGCACCCATGATTTTATACGATCTGTATAAGATGGAGGGCAAGAAAAGTGCAACCAGACTTGCATCATCCTGCTGCTATGGCCTCACTCAATAAACTTTAGTCTTCCTATGTAGTCGATTTCCAGATTTGGTTTATTTTGTAGGGCTGACATTTTGCAAAAATTCATGTAAGAAAGTAAAAACGCATAAGATTTGGCAATCATGAACTTTTAACTATTCTTAATGATTTAATAATATCAATTATATGATCAAAATTATATGTACTTTTGGGGTTCACAGAAGCTGCCTATGGTTTTTTTTTTTTTGCAACAACTTTGATTCCCACAGAATGCATGTCTTATATAGCAATAGCACTTAAGACTTATATATGCTTCACAGTACTTTACAGCTCTCTCTAAGCAGTTTACAGAGTCAGCATATTGCCCCCCAACAATCTGGGTGCTCATTTTATGGACCTTGGAAGGATGGAAGGCTGAGTCAACCTTGAGTCTGATGAGATTTGAAGTGCCAAATTGCAGGCAGCCGGCAGGCAGCAGAAGTAACCTGCAGTACTGCATTCTAACCATTGCGCTACCTCGGCTCTTTATATGATTACCTGAAAGTAATGAATTTAAAAAAGAATGAAAATACTCAATAGGTAATATAAAAGTCACTTGATTATATCAGACTAGTAGTTTGCAACCCATTTTCTTTCCTATAAGTAAAAATATTCATTCATACAAAGGAACGCTGCTATATTCTCATAATTCACCCAGAGAGCAAAACATTATAAGAATCTAGTAACCGGACTTTAGCTTTTCCAATTCCTTGCCACTGGCCATTTCAATTAGGACTCTTAGGATGCCCCAAACATCTGAATGGCACTAGGTTTCTATCCTGAACTAATAGACCATCATTTTATACCTGGGTGTCAAACTCGATTTCATTGAGGGCCGCATCAGGGTTGTGTTTGACCTTAAAGGGGCCCGGGGGTGGGGGCTGACCAGGATGGGCCTGACCAGCATGACATCACTCATATCAGTGTGTGTGTGCCTGTGACCCAAGCACTGTGCCAGCGAAAATGGGCTTCTGAGCGCCGTTTTTGGCTGGGATGGCCTCCTGCAACCCTCTACCAGTGAAAATGGAGCTCGGGAGACCCCCATGAGCTCCATTTTCACTGGCAAAGGTACCATGGGCCGGTCCTTTGCTGTTTCTAGGGTGGCCCCGTGGGTCAGATCTAAGCTGAATCTAGCCCCTGGGCCTTGAGTTTGACACCCCTATTTTAGACAATGAAAACTACCCTTAAACTAATACAGATATGTTTAAGAAGAACCCAATTGCCCTGCAGTTTCATTGAAAGAAGAGAGTAAATGTAGCTTACATTGTCCATGGGTTGAAATTGGAAAGAAAACAATGTGCAAAGGAACTTATAATTAGAAATATGACTCATGATAGCCAGTTATGTTTTCAGAGGCAATGACTTTCCCAAACCTTCAGTGCCTTTGCTTCAACTTCTGCCTTACTCATTTTCTTTTTTTATCCTTTAGGAGCAAGCTATGATATCAAGCTTATTATCAGGCTGAGAGAAGAAAACAGAATGGAGTCAGCCTCTGCCTTCATCTTTAGGCTCTCAGGAGGCAGGAGAACAATAACATCTACATTCCAATTTATTCTCAAGCAAGGGACACGTTAACCTAAATAAAAGAGAACACGGTATGATTTTTCTTTCAAGCTGCAATACAAAGCCATATATTTTCCCATTACCGTCTCCTTCTCTGGGGACTGAAACTGAATCTAATCCTCTGAAGAGAATGATTTGGAAGAAGCAAGAGAAAAAACAGCAGTGAAAAATCATTCAGTTTTAGAAATAAGTTGTTTTTAAGTGCTATATTTTGAGATGATAGACTGATATATAACCATTAAAGTTATTTTTAAAATTGCTGCATTTATGTCTGCTTCATATTGCTAGTGAAGAACCATGCCTGCTGAAAGAAAAAAAAAAACCCAGGATGTCAGGTAAATTATCTAGCCACTATTGAATATCAGATTATATCTGAATTTATAAAAATAATCTAATGTTTCTTCCTTCTTTTCAAATTCAATTCAACTGATTTCTCTATAAAATCAAGCCATGCTTCTTGTATTGTTTGAAGAAGCTTTGTGTTATGTATTCCTGTTATTCTCTCCAGAAATAATATGTAGTAAAGCATTTCGTTGATAGATTGATTCATTCATTCATATTTCTACCTGCCCATTTTACCTAAGTGACCCTGGGTGGTTGAACAAGAAAGGTCTTTTAAAAACTATGTATTATTACTAAAAATAGGCCAAAAAGGTGTCTATATAATCACCAGAAGTCAAACCTGATTTGATTTTTTATTAAATTCATGCAGTTATCTTGATTCCATAACAAAGATCTTTTTTCTCTAGCACGTTTAATTTCTGTTGCATAAATGTTTTATTATACACGATTTAGTAGGATTGATAACACACTACATTCAATGGACCAAATTTCTGCAGTGATTTGTATCATTTGCATTGTTATGCCATTATTGGTGTGAATGGGCATAAACTGCTTCATCGGCGTTATTATTCAACTGATACAAATAGCTGTAATGACAAATTTCATATTTAATAGACATATAAGACACCATTGTTCCCAGCTAGTCTGTTAAAAAGAAGATGTAATGTATTATAAATATGTCAATCATTTTAGGCCTCTCCATGTTGAAGAGATGATGTATCATGGATTCTTCTTCACCTAAAGTCATTTATAAACCTTTTGAAAGTCATGTGCAACTGGAAGGAGAGCAAATGATATCATATACATTAAGGTATCATTGTGAAACAATATATAGGCATTTTACATACAGTATATAATTTATGTCAGTTTGTCACTATGGCTTCTACTTGGACCCTATGTTGATAAAATGGTGCTTTTCATTTTCATATAATAAATGTAAATAATTCCATTCCCAAGCAAATATTTGTATTTCAGATCACAGTATATTTATATGTATAAACTTATACATTGGGGTTTTGTGTGCATAAGTTAAAGAGAAACAACCTATTTTTGGATAAGTCCAACTGCTTATCATTAGTTATGTCCAGTGGTAAAATCCAATTTTTTTTACTACCGGTTCTGTGGGCGTGGCTTGGTGGGCATGGTGTGGTGGGCATGGCTTGGTGGGCGTGACAGGGGAAGGATACTGCAAAATCTCCATTCCCTCCCCACTCTGGGGCCAGCCAGAGGTGGTATTTCCGGTTCTCCAAACTATTCAAAATTTCCACTATTGGTTCTCTGAACTGCTCAAAATTTCCACTACCGGTTCTCCAGAACCTGTCAGAACCTGCTGGATTTCACCCCTGGTTATGTCCAAAGATTCAATTAAAAGCCAATGTATCATTTGAGGGGATAGTTTTGTCCAAAAGAATTAAATAATAAAACCAAGGGTCCTTATTATACTAACTCATATTATGCTAACTGATGAATACCTGGATTCATAGTGAACCTCCAAAATGTGCATTTATTAACATTTTTGTTCTTTCTGAGAATTGAGCATACATATTATTCAGATAAGCCATGATTGTAGTGTAGGATGGCCAGTTGACCAGAATAGTGCAGTAGTCTTTTTTTGCCCCAATGCAACAAAGAGAAGTCTGAAGAAATTTTGGTTTGGAAATTGGTAAGCTTCTTCCAGCATGCTATTCTGATCAAAATATCATTCCTCATGGCTGCATATCCTTAAAACATAACTAATATAATCACAGATTTTCCATACAGCAGAGAATTGAACAGCTTAAAATAGAAATTGGGCAAGGTAATTATGTAGGATCAAAAGGAATAGAAAACAAGGCTATCAATGAACATTCCTCCATTCTTATGGTCATTGTTCTTTTCTATACAGGTACAAGCAATGGAGTCTCATTCTCCATTTTAACAACAAGAAATTTATGGTGATAAAATTGTATTTATCCTATTATGGGGATAAATATTTCATCAATTTTTGGATTAGTCAAAACATAATGTCTTACAACTCATCATGGCTGGTTTTATACAGCACACCGAGTCAAAATCAAACTATGTAATAATTTACAGTACATGAACCAAAGTAGGATTTAACCTTTTATCTTTGAATTATCCATAATATGCAATAAAAACTTGATTTAACACAACACCAACAGTTGATTTAACACAACACTAAGAGTGAGATGTCAGATTAGAATTTGTCATTTATAACAATTTATATCACTTCCATATTTACATAATTAACATAAATTATTTGCAATAAAACCTCAATTTACAAACCTTTAGTTAAATGGACAAAACCATGAATTAATGTACATTAAGTCTATCTACTGGAAGTGAAGCCTAAACAAAGAAATTATCCCACACTTCTAATGAACACAGCGTGCGAAAACAGTTTTGCTGAATTGGTCCAAAATGAATCTTAGTCCAGCATTTTATAAGGCATACTTATGCCTTTATAAGGCAAACCATTCTTCTGGGATGCTTGCAAACACCTCCACTATTTTTCCTCTGCACTCAGGAGTACCCACAGAATGGAGCACTTTCATCAAGATGACAAAGTGACATGTTACACAGTGTGATGCAAGGACCATTTATTTTGTATATCTGTGCATGTAATATCATGACCTATATATAGAAGTATATATTGGTGCTGGCATGACTTCAGTGCAATTTTGCTTTCTCCTCCCCCACATCCTTTCTATTTTCTTCTCCCTACATTTGAGACATGCTATCACCGAAGTAATGCATATGTATTATTCATAGCAATGCTTTCTACTCATCATACACAACTAACAATATAAGGCTTCTGTATGATATCAAGGAGTGGAATATTTAGACCAGAAGCAACATTTTTATGAGGAATAAATAGTGACTATAAGTTTTTAATTTGATTACACTTTAAAAACCTCCAGCATGACCGGCAACATGTTTCAACTGTGCATCAGTTGTCATTTATGCCCTTCTTTTAACAGGGGAACCAGGATTTGATTTCAAAAGCTGTTCAAGAGAAACTCAAGAAGTATAATACATTTGTACAGGTTTCAGGTCTTGCATCAGGGGTGAAATTCAGCAGGTTCTGACAGGTTCTGGAGAACCGGTAGCGAAGATTTTGAGTACTTCGGAGAACCGGCAAATACCACTTTTGGCTAGCCCCAGAGTGGGGTGGGAATGGAGATTTTGCAATATCCTTCCCCCCAGGAGTGGGGAGGGAATGGGGATTTTGCAGTATCCTTTCCCTGGACTGGGGTGGGAATGGAGATTTTGCAATATCCTTTCCCCAGGAGTGGGAAGGGAAGGGAGATTTTGCAGTATCCTTCCCCTGCCACGCCTACCAAGCCACGCCCAGTAGTAAAAAAAATTGAATTCCATCACTGTCTTGCATGCAGGTTAATTGTGGACATTTTAAGTTTTCAACATGGGAGACCACCTCTGCAGCCCATAATCTCCACTTCCCTTTTAGCAGATGCCAGCATTCTACTTGAACCATTGGTTTTGGTTTCCTGCCATTTTGAGATTCGGAAAATAGTAAAAATTATTCTGAGTTTGAGGTAGGCTGAACACTGGTGGTTTTTAAGCCCAGCCCTTGTGCAGGATGCAGATCCGTCATTACTTTGTCCATTGCTGTCCTTAAACTCCCCCAAAACATTAATTGCAACCACCAAAAGGAAGCCATCTACCTCTAGTATACAGAGTATATATGTAACCTGGACCCTCCAGAAAGGTTTTGCTTCATCTCATAGAAAGCAAAGGTGATATGCTTACACAAGTAAGAAGAGCTGAGGTTGCGCAGTGGTTAGGGTGCAGTACTGCAGCTACTTCAGCTGACTGCTAGTTCAGCAGATCAGCGGATCAAATCTCACCGGCTCAAGGTTGACTCAGCCTTCCATCCTTCCGAGGTGGGTATAATGAGGACCCAGATTGTTGGGGGCAATATGCTATTTAGTATACTGTCTTTGGTATAAGCCGCCCAGAGTCCTCGGAGAGTGGGTGGCATAGAAATTTGAATAATAAAATAAAAATAAAATAAAAATTCTAGGAGATGATCCAACACATCTGGAGGGCATCAAGTTAGACAAGCACAGGAAGCAAGCAATGAGGAAAATCTGCCTTTGCCTGAAAGCAAGCTGATTCTGTCAGTACAAAGACAAGCTAGCATCAGGCATGTGTCAGAACAATAAAATTTGCTTACTCATGGTAATACTAGAATGGATGGATACCAGATTCTTCCTCTCTTCCTCGAGCTTTAGAGAGTTCTTTACAAAGAAATTAAATTTCCACCCTGTATTTTATATTACTAAATCAGCAATGAACAACTTCTATATTCTCAGTGGTCTGCTAATATGTATATGTTGCACAGATTGACTCAATATGAATACCTCATTGTATAATCTCTCTGATCTCAGACATAATTGTAGCATTAGGTACAAAACCAAAGAGAATACATCAGCTTACCTCATTCTTTCAAAGTTCAACAAACTAGACCCTATCCATTTATTTTCATTTTTTTGAATATTTTTAAAAGGTTGCTATCATTCTCTGCAGTATTCAGAGGCAGATACACAATCTTCGCAATTGGATGGAAATTGTCCGAGGAAAATGGATGGCCCAGAATATTATCTCAAACAAGAAGAACCTTGAAGTTCAATTTCTTTTTATAGTGGCAGCAGCTCTTCAATTCCAGGATAAGATGGTGGAAGAACTAGTCTTTAGAGATGAGAAGGGTGACCCAAGCTTTCCTGTTAGGCTTCCACACAACAGGAAGTGAGGTCTTTGAGAAGTTCTTGAGAGCTCACAGGTTCTTGGAGTCGTAGACAGCAGCTGTTTTAGTAGTTGTTCAGGTCATCAGAAGCATTGCCACTTAGCAGCACAATTAGTCTATTCTTTGCTGCTTTAAAACCTGGTATTAT